GATGCGCTGGGGTCGCCCGGTGGCCAACCGGGCGGGACGACCGGCCAGGCGGCCCGGCCCCCCTCCGGGCGACGAGCCGGGCGCCGGGCGGCCCTGAGTGCAGCCTAGGGAGAAAGCACAATGCCGTCCAATTGCCAAACAAATGGATGAAGTTGAGAAGAAGAAGAAGAAGAAGAAGTACACCCGCAAAGACCAGTGACAACCCCCCTCTCTCTCGCCAACCAGGTCCTCCTCCTTACGGCCCTGAGTGCGCTGGGGTCGTTTTTTTGCGACGTGGGTGCAGGACAGGCTGCGTTGCCCTTCCACGACGGCTGTGTGTGCATGCGTGTTTGAGTGGCGTCCAGTACCCGCGGGTGTGCTGCCGAGTGTTCACTATTGTGCTGTGTGCATGCGTGCTTGAGTGGCGTCCAGTACCCGCGGGTGTGCTGCCGAGTGTTCACTATTGTGCTGTGTGCATGCGGTCGCGTGTTTGGAGTTGTGTTACCGTCGTCGATTCTCCGCTTTGCAGGGGTTCTGTGTAAGTGTGACTATGGTCGTGTGGGCGTGCTTGCGTGTTTGTGTACGTATTCGTAAGTGTGTACGTGTTCGTTTCTTCTTCCTTTTCTTATCCTTCTTCTTCTTCTTCGTGTTCTTTTTCTTCTTCTTCTTCTTCTACTTCTTCTTCACGTTCATCTTTGGCTTGTCGTTCATCGCGTGTCCATCGTTGTGTTGATTCTTTATGTCGCCCAACCTGTCATCCTCGTCGGCGACCTTGTTTTTATATATATATATATATATATATATCCACGTGGGCGGCCTTGTACGCAAGAGGTTCTGAACAGGGGGAGTTATAAGAAAGAAGACAAAAAATTGAATTCAATTTTTTCTGGTTTTCTTTTCTCCTTTTTTTTTTTTCCGCATTTGCGCTCTTATATTCTTGTGACAATATATATATATATATACATAAAAGAGAGAGAGAGAGAGAGAGAGAGAGAGAGAGAGAGAGAGAGAGAGAGAGTTGGTTTGTCGCATCGAAACTTTATGCATCACATTGCCATCAGACATGACGTTTATACTACTTTTATTAGGTTTCGGTTTTTAGTTTATTTCGTTTTTATTTTTGTTCTTCTTCTCTAATTCGTCGTTCCTTTTTTTATTGTTCGGTTACGAAATGCGACTTCGATATTGTTCGGCGTGTACCTGGCAGCACACACAGCGCAGAGTATATATGAGTCTGTGAAACTCCGACGAAACAGTTTGTCACAGCCCCTCGTTTGTTGTCCTCTTGGTTTTTGAGGAATTTTTTTTATTTCTTCTGTTAGGTGTTGTTTTTTGTTCGTGTCTTTTTTTTTTTTTTTTTTTTTTTTTTTTTTTTTTTTTTTTTTTTTTTTTTTT